GCACCCGGCGTGAGTTTAAGCCACCGGGTCCGGGACTCGAACCACAGTCTACTATGTGGGAGTCCAGCAACATAGCCATTACACCAACTGCTAGTCCCTCCTTTTCTTTTTTTGGAAAGGTTTTTGTTATAGGGAGCATGTGCTCGCCAGAAAGACAGAAAGACTGAAAGCAAGAAATCACCCCCCAGGGGGGATAGCCACGCCACAATCCCTTCTCCATTCTCCTCTCGGGATCTTGGGCACACACACACTTGCGTCCAGCGTGAGTTTAAGCCACCAGGTCCAGGACTTGAGCCGTAGTTGACTACATGGGAGTCCAGCGATATAGCCATTACACTAACTGCTGGTCCCTACTTAAATAACTCTTTTTAAAAAATGTTTTTAAAAAATGGTAAAAGTTACACTGGCCTTGTGGCTCCCATGGTTAAGGGAGCCAGATCCCACATGGCCAACCACGCAGTTTGAACCTTAGCCCTAGCAGCTTGAAAAACACACCAGATACATGTACATGCTTGCCTAAAATCCCCTTAGAGGAATGGAGGAAAAGGGATTATGGCATAACCATGGCCCATGGGCAGTGATGTCTTCTCTCTATCTCTGGTGCGCATGTGCACCCTGTAGCAATTAAAGCAACAATGATAATAATGATGGCAAGGAACAAAACGAAACAATAATAGATGGTAACAGTCATTCTTTCCACAGAGGTATAACTGAAAGCTAAAGCCAGTTTTCTTTTTGAATTTTTGTTGTTGCACAGCAGAGGCTTTGAAGACCTCAGGGACTTCTGTCAACACGCACAGAAACCTCCTCTACCTTGGTGATGGCCCAGAGGGACTGTTTTCTTCCTCTTAGTCTGAGTGACTGCCGAGAAGGAAGGCAGTGGTGGACCAACTGGATCTCCGACTCTCCCGTAGCTTCTGATCCCAGACCTTATTAAACCTTTTTCTGGACCCAAAGACAAAGCTCACTTGAACAAATGATTTTACATCATGAATGAAAAATCTTGCTCTTTCCATAATGAGAAAGAAGTAAGAGATGGACAGGTAAGCCAGCACTCCTGTTTGGGAAAAAAGCTGTTGGTTTGGGATAATTAATAATAATGCAGGGAATGGGGAGCTGTAGAAATATTTAGGGAAAACTCTCATTGTCATTCTCTTTGTTCTGTTGATGGGAGCTTCTATTCACCTCTGCATCAGTTGCCCTCCTTGATAGGTTTAATAGTATTATTATTTTTTTAAAGAAATATTTATTTAATTTTATTTATTTATTCATTTAGAGCTTGGGATGCGAGCCAGGGCTTCCCATGTGGCTTCAGCATCACAGAGCACTGTGTGGTCACTGCACTGCCACAGCTGGTCCCCAACTTAGCATGTAAGAGCCAGGTAGCAGTGTGTGTTCTGCCGTGCCTATGGCCCTGCAATCCCAGGGCTGTCCCTAAAAGGAGAGCTGCACTAGGCACATTGCAAAGCCATGAGAGCACTGAGCCTTCCTAGACTAAACCCAGGGAAGTGCACCGGCACAGCTGCCTTGCCAATCTAACACATTCTGGGCCGCCCCATAGCATGCAGGGTGAGTGCAATGCATAAAAAGCTGACCCCAGATGGCCGACTGTGACTCGAATCCTGGCCCTGGTGGCTTGAAAGACGTGGCAGGCGTGTGTGTGTGAGAGACCGAATGGAGAAATAGAGAGGATTGCAGCGTGACCACACCCATTGGGGAATGCTTTCTCTTTCTCTGGTGAGCACTCACGCTGGGAACAAAATATAAAAACAAACAAATAATTTTAACATATTTTTCTTTTTAAAAAATAATTATTTATTTCTTTATTCATTTATTTTAATTTAACCAGAGACAGAGGCAAAGTGGGAAATCAAGCCACCAGGCCCGGGACTCAAACTGTGGTTGGCCATGTGGGAGTATCCAGCGCCTTAACCACCACGCCTCCTGCTGGTCCTGATAGATTGTTTTCTAAGTGGGTTATGGAATTTTATTTTGGATTTGCTTGGGTAGGAGGGAGAATTTCATTGAGGAATCACCCAAGAAATCTGGGTTTGTTGATATGGGTCCTTTAAATTATTGGCCTCTTCCCTGGGAAATGCTGACTTTGGCCTGACCATCCTAGAACTCTTGGTTCAAAGTGGCATATCTTTATAGTAGCCAGCCAGTGAACCCATTTCTTTTTTTTTTAATTATTATTTATTTAATTTTATTTATTCATTAATTTATTTTAATTTGACCAGAGAGAGAGAAAGGGAGAAAGGAAGCTGCCAGGTCCAGGACTTGAACTGTGGTCCGCCATGTGGGAGTGTCCAGCACCTTAACCGCAACACCACCTGCTGGTCCCCCAGTGAACCCATTTTTTACCTCTTGTCCTACCTTGCTCATCCAGAAATAGTCTTAGATGGAATCTTTAGGATTCAGCGGCCAGAACAGGGACAAAGCCTTTGTTTTTGTTTTGCTTTGTTTTGGGGTTTTTACTAGAGGTTGTGTATGCTGAGGGGAGAGGAGAGATAGAGACAGTGGGATGGGAAGTGAGAAATCACTCCCCCTGGGGGTGATTTTCAGGCTGTCAGATCTGGGACTTGAACCACGTTGGCCATGTGAGAGTCCAGCACTTTAACACTACAACACCTGCTGACCCCAGAGACAAAGCCTTTGCTTTAGAACTCCAGGAAGGTTTTCTTCACTGTGGTAAGACAGGTTAACTGTCTTCTAGAGGGAGGACTTGGACCCCGGAGGGATCATAGGTGTGCATCACAACTCCCTGCTCTATTTTAGGTAAGGTCTCACTATGTTGTCCACCAGCCTTCAGCTTGTGATCCTCCAGCCCAAGCCTCCTGAGCTGCTGGATTTGCAGGTGCCCTAAGCCTTAGGTTAGAAGAGGAATCAAACGTGGGTCTTGCATGTGGTCTCAGCCAGCATAGCTCAGCGTGTTAGCACCACTGCCACTGAGCCCTCTTTTCCTTACTGTACAGAAAATGCTATGCTCATGTGCTTCAGAGTCTGCAAAGCACAGAAGGATGTATGTGGGTAAAGAAACCATCCTCCCCTTTGTCCCTCAGCCACCTTGTTTTCTTTTTCTTTAAAGTAATTATTTGTTTAATTTATTTATCATCATCATCATTATTATTCAGTTTGACCAGAGAGAGACAGAGAGAAAGAGTGACAAAGGAAGCCACCAGGTCCAGGACTCAAAGCGCAGTCCACCTGGTGGTAGTCCAGTGCCTTAACCACCTCACCACCTCCTGGCACCATCACTTAGTTTTCCTGCTGGAGGCAAAAATTAACTACTTTCTTGGGTATAATTCCAGAAAGTATAAAGAAGCAAACAATTATATTTATGTATTTTTTAAAATACAGCAGTCAAATAGCACTTATATCCTGTGCTTTGCTTTTTCTCTAACAGATCATGAGCACCGTCTCATGTTGTCCATAAAGTAGTTTCCCATTCTTTAAGCCTACACAGTCTCTCCTTGGGGGGTATGCTTTAATTTGTTTGATCAGTCCATTAGTGGGCATTTAGAGTTTCCCTCATTTTTTTTCGAATCAGAAACAGTGCTGCCATAATGAATAAAATAATTTAAAAAAAAAAAAAGGGGCCAGCGGGGGGTGGGGGGGTTAAGGCGCGGGA